GACAAAATCAGCTGCTTTGAGCAGGATTTTCCTGGCTTGAATATCATTACCAGGCAATAATTGATTCTCTAGATAATTTATCAAAGGTCTCCATTCTTCATCTAGTTTTTGTAGCTTACCGAGCATTTCTAGGTTTAAACCTGGTATGCCGTCTTGTTTATCCTCATCAGCTGGGGATATTGGTGCGCTAGCAGCACCTGGCACCTGATCTATGCAGTATATCATAATTGTATTGCTGCAAATGCATTATCCATCTGGCTAATCTACCTGTAGGTTCTTTCACTGACAAAAGCCACTTCAAAGAACGATTGTCTGTTACCACAGTGAACTTGCTGTATCTAAGGTAATTGTTGAACTTCTTTGTTCCAAACACGACCGCTAAAGCCTCTTGTTCATGAGTGGGATATCTTTTTTCTGTTTCAGATAGATTTCTCCCAGCATACGCTACCGGATGTTCAACTCCATCGGTAACTTGGCTTAATACTACTCCTAAGGATTCATTTGATGCATCAGTCAACAAGAGAAAGGGTTTCTTGAAATCAGGGTATTTGAGTAAAGGAGCCTCAGTCAATTTCTTTTTCAATTCTTGAAAAGCTTCCTCACAAACAACACTCCATTCAAAAGGAACACCTTTCTTAGTCAATCTATAGAGTGGTCTAGCTATCTGAGAGTGATGACTTAAAAACCTTTTGTAGAAGTTGACCATTCCTAGGAATCGTCTTAACTTTTTCAAGGTAGTAGGTGATTGGCAGTCTAACACAGCCTTGACATTTGAACTTGTGGGAGCAATTCCTGAAGATGACACATCGTGTCCCAAATATCGAACTTTTTCTACAAATAACTTGCATTTTGAAGGTTTCAACTTCAATCCAGCCTTGGATAATCTATCCAATACCTGACCCAAATGCTCGAGATGTTCTTCAAAGGTGTTGGAGAATATGCATAAATCATCAATATAGCAGATGACTGTTTTCCATTGCAATCCGGCTAATACTAATTGCATAACTCTCTGGAAGAAACTAGCTGAGTAAATCAATCCCTGGGGTAACCGTTTGTATTGGAACAACCCTTCATGACAAACAAATGCAGTCTTTTCTCTTGACCCATCGTCTTCTAAAGGCAATTGGTGATATCCTTGACATAAATCAAGACAACTTATGAACTTTGGTTGGACTAAACCTAAACTATCTAAACAATCTCCTAGATGTGGTATAGGAAATTTATCAGGTATGATTTGCTGATTTAGCTTTCTTAAGTCTGTCACGAAACGGAATGATCCATTCGATTTATTGACCAATATTATAGGTGACGCATAAGGTGAAGTTGACGGTTCAATAATTCCTTGGGACAACATATCTTTGACTTGTCTGCTTATTTCATCTCGTTTCTGAACTGGCACTCTATATGGGGATTGGCGAAATGGTACTTCCCCTGGCTTTGTTTTTATTTTGAGTTTGAGCAGGTCGCATTAACCTAACTTGCCGGTGGAATCTACAAAAGCATCTGAGTATTTGTTTACCATTTCATGAACCTTGACCTTTTGTTCTGGAGTTAACTTTGAATTTGATAGATCTATCTTGACTTTCTCATTTCTTTTTTCAAAAGCGTTCGTACTGTGCTCGCCGTCTAGTGAGAGTGTGTTAATTCCTTTCCTTGAACTGACAAATGTACCTACGCTGGTATTTTTAGGCACTTTTATCGCGCGTTTTTCCGGGTTTAAAAGTTTCATTGGAACAAAACCATTTGTAATTGCACCTATGCTTTTAGCTGTAAACACATTGGATCGCGAATTCACCGCTAAACATTCTCCTATAAGATTTTCCGGAGGTCTACCCTTGACCTTTGCATAAATAATCATTTCGGTCTGAGGAGGTATAATGATTTCTTGGTTCAAAATGAGAGGATATTTATTGAGCGGCTTCAATCTCAACTTTCTGACATTAAAATCAATCACAGCTTCATGTTTGTTCAGAAAATCGGCACCTAATATTATTTTTCTTCTCAATCCTCGGATGACGTATAACATTATCGGAATACTTACCTTTCCAAAGGTCATTTTTGTGAAAATTTTTCCTCTTAAATTCAATCTTTCATTTCCGGCTCCAACAGGTTTAATATGAAATTCAGGATATATTTTTATATCATAATCCTTTATGGATTCTAAATGTTCCTCATCAATCAATGATATCTGAGCACCTGTGTCTACGAGACACCATACTGTGCTGTTAAATAATTTTGTCTTTATCGCATTATCTTGATATAAATTTTCCTGAATTTCAATATCTCCGATAAATTTCTTGCGAGGATTGCTTTTAACATATTTCTTCGGCCGTGCCTTCAGTTCTCGCTTCTTTAGACGCGGCCTTCGGCGTTTAAAGAGTTAACTGGACGTGTCTGATTGACATTTTGCCTATTTTTGGCCAAGCAAAACTTTGCTATGTGACGACCTGAACAATTGTAACAGCGGATATTTTGATTATTGAATGACCTCGAACTATTTCTCCTACAAAATGGCGCTGAATGTCCCTTCCTAAAACATTTTTGACAAGTTGGCCTTCCATCAATGAATCTATTGTTTGCAGTATTTTTCCCTTTTTCTCTGCTAAGTTGGGATACCTTTTCAGTCAAAGATTTGATAGCTTTTTGCTGATTTTCTACTATATTACACATTAAATTTTGTGTATCTACCTTGCTTTTGTCATTTTCAGCTTCCTTATCTACTTGATTCAAACAATCAGCTAGTCTGGCTGCTGACTCAACAGCGGCGAGATCATTTGGTTCTTTTGAGATCACAAATTTCCTTATATTTGGGAGAAAATTTTTGATTAAAATTGTTTTATGTTCATTTTCCTCTAACTGTAAGCGCGAGGCTAATCGCCTTATATCAGTCATAAATTCTTCAACTGATTCATTTGGCTTCTGATTTCTTGAGAGTAATTGAGCTTGTATGTTCCATTTTGGTCTATTTCCAACAAAATATTGCGTAAAAGCAGTTTGAAGTGCTTCAAAATCATGTTGAGTTTCTTCTGGGAGATTATTATACCATAATTCAGCTTGACTTCCCAAAAACATACGCATGGCTCTAGCTTTTCTTTCATTGTTCCACCCCTGTAAATCGCCATAGGCATTGTACCTATTAACCCAATTCAGCGGGTCGATATCCGAAGAATTACCGTCGAACGTTTTTATCCTGTTTTTACCTTCAATTTCATTTCTATTTTGAGCTTGATTTTCTAACCTATTTAATCTTTCTTGCAATTCAGCATTATTACCTTGTCTAGCTATTAATTGATCTAACTGACCTTGTAAATCTGGGTTCTGAGCTGTTTCTAATTGTCTTAACCTAGCATCTATAGCTTCCATATTGTTAGTTACTCTTCGTGTTATCATCTATTATGATTTATTATGATATACATTCGAACCCTGTTTTCCTACAAACCACTGATTTATGAACGGTATTTAATCATTTGTTCTAAACTTAACTTCTCGCTTGGCATTTTAGAGAAAAATTTATGTTAGTATGATGTACGATGAAAACATGCTTTTTCATGCAGTTAGCTTATACTTACATAACCGTTCTTTCTTTTACCTAGGGCAGCTTCCACCAATTGTTACGTATCGTAACTGTCGCTTCGGGATCTTGTGGTCCTTCGGTACTCGCAGGATTCCTGACTACCTAATTGAACACGACTCCTTTGTTTTGTTTCTTAATTTTATTTCAAATTCCAATTCTTCTTGAGATTGATCCGGCCAGCAGAGTTTCGGTAGATTCGCTTGTTATTGTTTCTCCTTTCATCAATTGTTGAGCATCGTTGTGAGTGAGTAAAACTTACTTCATTGTTGATGTTGTTGTTATCGAGTAAAAGTTACTGAATCAACAGATCTTGCCGGCTTCTTTATATACCAGGTAAAATACATTATTTTACCTGTCAAAATTGTGCAAATATAAGTAAGAATATTGCTGATTTCATGCTTATGTAAGCAAGATTCAAATCATAATTCCGAGTCGTGATTGGTTGTTGAAAGTAACAACTTGTCAGAATTACATTGATATATCTTTGTTTTGGCTGAATATAGTAGCGTAGGGATTCCCCTGTACTAAAGCAAACTGAGGTCTAAATAGTCATTAATCATAAGAATACAGCAAGATCTTTACAATGTTTGAATATGCTGAATATAAATGGTATTTTATATCGGATAATAAATAATAAATAAATAATAAAGTAATTATATATAATTAAATATAATTACGTACTGACCGAATCATAACACTAGACTACGTAAGAATTTGTAATAAAAATGGCTTACAAAGTAAGGCATTTCTACATTAAGAACATTACTTACCTAGTGTCTTACCTGTTGTTCATTCAAATCTTACTACGCTTGGCTAGAGCGTTAACTACATCTTACATATATATTACATTTTTTGTTTATTTATTTTCTTTATTTATTTATATTTATTTTATTTTTTCTTATTATTTTTAATGCATCAATATATATGTAAGAAACTAAGAACATGACTAGTTTCATGTCAAGGCCACTTGGAAAGTATGTGCAGTTAACTACATGTTTTGCATACTATATATAGCAAAACCTATATTCTATTTTCTATGAAGCTTTTTATTATATTTTATCGTAAACTATATAATGTTTGAGATAAATACACACTAACACACTATATATATGCTTAGTTTTCTGTTAAGCCACACGGGAAAATCTATATGCATGCAAGTACTAGGTTTTCTAATTAACTATAGTAAACCCATATTTCTACAAAGCTTCCGAAGATACCACCTACTCCAACTCAACTAGACTCCATATTGGAAAACAAACCGCTCGAAACTATGGGCTATTATGTTACATAAACTATTTCATTTAATTTGTTGTTATTTATTTATTTCCCTATGTATCTATATTTATGATATTAGGCCTGAATAACTATCATGACTCAAACTTAGCCTGTACTTTAGGACATACATAATTATTTTGTAGACACTTACTCATCATCCCTAGAGCCGTGTTGACTGCATTTTGCAACTGTTTACCCCAGTCAACCATGGGCCCCTGTTTTAGGTGTGTCCCATCCTTTAATTTCTTTTTAATGTCTACTTCAATACCTCTCGTTCTCCAAAATATTATTCGATTGTCTCTCTTTGACCGCTCGTTTAATTTCCTATTTACTTCATGTATCATACTATTGCAGATTTTTAACTGTGTTTCATTTTTTATGAATTGTTTCAGATATTTTGGGGCCATATCTCTTGTAATTAATTTTCCAATCATCATTCTACCGTCTTTGACAAGATGCCTCTTACACTTTAGAGCCAAATCCCATAATTTATCGACCATCTTCTCACTTTCTTGTTCTATAGAAATTTCTAAATTTTTGGAAAGTTCTGAAATATCATTCCCCCCGATTTGCATAAATCCACAATCAAAATGGCTCATAGGTACGCTCGTGTCACTCAAAATTTTAGAAACCTTTTCAACTGTCCCCTTACTCAGAAAGGTACATCGGGCCCTCGGAGGTACCAAAACCCATTTGAGCTTTTTTTTCTTGTCAAGAGATTTTATCTTATTCTTAGGCCCAGGTGTTTCTTTTCTACTCTTTTCCATCTTTTGCTCTAAAATTGACTTTTCCACCAATGTCTCTAATCGATCTATATAAGAATGGCCAACGAACAATACCTTTGAAGTTTTTTCATTCATAGTTTTAGAAGATCTACCTGGAATAAGAGGATAATTAAGAAATAAGGTGCAATCTGGGCTTGCCTAGGCTGAAGATGAACTTGAAATTTTTTCCCCCTCAACTTTCGGAGATCACTAAACTAACTCAAGCCCTATTTCAATCTCTGTTTCTGTCACTAAATTCTTTTACTACTCTAATATTAACTTTTCTACCCAAACGTTATATTAGAATAAATCAACTTACCCTCAAAGATTGCTAGATTGCCTACCACTGAAATGTTATCATTCCCGCCTCGTGCAGAATTGAAAAAGGTCCAGCATGCATTGCATCTTCCGGAACTCAACTTCCGGTGACGTCACTGAAAAATCTCAACAAACTTACAATTATCTCATATTACCTCAACGTCTAACTTGGTAAGTAGGAAGCGTCATCTTCAGGCAACATAAATCATTATATTGAGCATATAATACATATCGCATCCTACGACCCCTAACAAAAACGTTGATTTGTGCCTGTTGATGGCCTTGTGCCTTTTTTAATAGATCTCATACCTTAGATGCGTATCGTTTCAGAAAAAATCCCAGAAAACCTAACATATTCTACCATACCGTGCGCCTATCCATTTAGCAATTCAATAGTAAACTTTTTCTTGAAAAAATAAATCTTCCAGATTTGTTGAATTTCCTAGCAGAAATTGCCTGCTCCCCCCCCTCCGTCCCATATTCACGATCACCGGGTGTGGGGATATTTTTCAAATTTTCCAGAGTAAAGGGACAATCTTTCATCCAAAGGTTTAAGAAGCGTTCATCATGACATAGTCTAGGCTTGGTTGGTTCTATAACAAGGGGCATGATGACCTTTGGCAGTACGCACTGTCCTACCTTCCCCCATACTCTAACCAACCCATTTCGTCTTCTATTACAAAGAGTGTTTGCAATAAACTCAGCAAAAGGACGACATGATGGGCTATTCGCAAAATATCTCCTCGGAGGGGTTTCGCTGTCAAAGGACACACCCTTGAAATTTCCCTTAAAATGTTGGAAAAATTCTTCTATGCAAATGCCCTCCCTTAACCATTTTAAAATACCCTCGCTGTCATAATGATCAGTCTGTGCTAATAGTTTTGACCAAAAAGGGATTTCCCTGTGCAATTGTCCACATTAGAAATTATCCGGATCTCTGACCTTTATCGAATATAAAGATGAAATACTAATGTCCTCATGAGCCGAAAGCTGGAGGTGCTCTCCAAGTGTCTCCCATACGACCTTGTTGGGAGTAAGTTCCATAGGATTAAATTGAACTGTCTTCTCCCACTCTGGCACAATTATGAAATCATCCTATACAAGAGAGAAAATAATAAATTTGAAATCTCTAGACACTTGAAAAGCAACCTCCAGCCCCGGCTCATGTGAATAAGAAAATCCACTAAGAGGTTTAAATTCTCCTGAGCCAGAACTGAAGGTAAAATCACAAAATGTTATAAAAATTTGGGAAAAACAAACCATCCGTCTATAAATCAAGTAAAGGATGCCGATAACTTTACAAATACAAAATATAAAGGTAAAAGACTCGAAAAGTGAAAATATCAAATATATCAAAGCTATACTAAACCCTATACAGAAGTTAGGCACCAAGACATATTGAGATACTAATTATCTTGGAATTGTAAACAAAGTTGATTGTACTTCTCACCACTGAGGACAAAAATGTACGTCATATACAAAAGCTCCCCTGGCCCCGGCCTCTGAATGCGGTCCTACCCCTCCAACCATCATATCTGAAATTTGGCCAAGAAGTTGACGGAAAACCCCATGGGGCCATAGGAAACATTTGTCCTGGCATTGATGGAAGTGGAAGAGATCCGAAAAACTGCATAGGAACTGATGCAGATGGCTGTGGTGGAGAAATTGCACTTGGGGACTTTGTGTCTCCCATGGCTTTTCCCTTTTCAGGCATTTATTCACGGCTTTCATTACTTTATCGCTGCCATTCAACGTTGTTAAAACAAGATCAGCAACATCCAACCTGCTTTGGTTTTTCTCAGCATGCCTAAGCAAGTCAGCGTATTCAACATAGTCTTGATGTTGGCACTTGTAATGCCTCCGACACCAGTTCTTCCGACGTGGCCAATATTAGATGAACTGACGAGTATGAAGCTAAGCACAAATGTCTCACCTTGCGAATTAGTGTTTTAACCACATCAAGCTTAGGCGCTTTCTCATCGTGTTGACACCAAGACCTAGATTGTAGGTCTCAAATAATTCTTGAGTGTTAAAGGAACAACGTGGCCTACTATCCATGTTGACAAGGATGCCTTATCAAACAAAGATTTTGCCTTGAAATACAATGTACAGTTTGTTTTCAATTTCTTTACATCATCTTCTGATACATGGATTCTAGAAAACAAAGACACACATTCTCTAAGATACAATGCTATGGGAGCAATAACCTGAGTCTGAGTTTTTGGGAATCAGAGTCAGATTCACTGGAGACTGGAGACTGACATAATAAGTGCCATGGAATTCTGACTTAGTTTAGTCGCCTCTTCTCCAGTGAATCTTCGTTCTGGTTTGCCAAGGGTTGACTTTTCTTTGAGAAACCATGTTTTCACGGGGTACCATCGAATAATTTTGGCAACGTACCAGAGAACGACATTTTACTAAGAAATGGCAATAATTTAGCACAATATATTTTTTAACTAGAGTTCTACTTTGATTTTGACAAAAGTAAGTATTCCATGCAATGGCTATTTCATTCTATTCGATGGTACCCCGTGGTTTTGTAAGACATATAAAGCCTCCCTGCTTTTACTACCCTCTTAACTGTCATCATATACTTTTTGAAGGGGTTTGTTTCAGGGAGATCATTTATAGACTTTGCATTCATTAGCACCTTTTTGTCTGATCTTATCAAAGCTTCACACAGAATCATGTTATTTAAATCTTGCCAACAGGAATTCTTCAAGTGCAGGGGTTCTGCTTTAGCATTTTCAATGAACTTCCCCATGATAGGATAGAATTCCTGTCGTGATTTAAGAGACTGAATCAAAGATGTAATTTTTGGTCGGGGAACAGTTGGATTTTTGGTTTTGTATGCCTCAACTTTCTCAGCAACAGCTAGTCTTGAACCGTACTCCCATGGCTGCCATTTGTATCTACTGCCCATTCCGAATTCAGCACCAATAGTGCAAAGGTCATCTTTATGAACATTTCCAAAAGAACAAGGGTAAGATGCAGCATTGTTTAGCTCACCACTGGCTGTTGCAAGAAATTTTTGATCAGTAGGAAACAGTTTGAATCTGAACTCTTTCCCCTCCAGCATGAAAACTTTTGTCTGAATAGTTTGCATTTCTTGTGCTATGTTCCTCAAATGAGCTTTGAATGGTTCACAGTCTTCACTACAAATACCAGCAATTAACAGGTAGTTATGATCTGGTGAAGCAAGACGTTCACATGTATTGATAACACCAATGAGAAATGCAGCCGCGGTATTACTTTTGCCAAATGGAGCCCCATCAGCCCCATAAGAGAACTGAAAAGTATTCGTGTCACCAAACCAGTTCAACACTGTGTTATCAAATGCTCTATCTTCAAATACAATTCAGCAATAGTTATACAAAGTTTCTCAAGATCCCTTCTACAACCATTAATGTCATCTAATCTCTCCAAATTGCAATTATTTAGACCACTTATGTATTATTGCAGGGTATTGTAACCCACAAGCTTTGGAATATTTGAAGGGACATTAACTTCTGGTGAAAATGATTTTTCTGTTTTGCATATACTGCGATATTTTTCCCTGCTTAAAATTCCATTTAAGTACAGCACTTTAAGAGACCTTAGTATATTGAGTTTTCTACACTTAGCAGAAATTGGTGTCTTCTTTTTCGGGCAGAATGATGTTTTTACGGATTTGGAATTGCTAAAAAGTTTCTCAAGATTTGATTTTGAAGAAGTTCGAGTTAATGTAGACCAAAGTCCATGTATAACATTTTTTTCACCATGTATCTCCTTTAGAATACTGACTGTGTTCTTTATTCTGTTGCACTTCGATGATTTGGACTTTGGTGATACAATTTTGTCGGTGTTGTTTTCATCTAGAATTGTTGGAATTGTTGCATTATGTGAAAGTCCCTTCTTCTTCTCAGTTTGATTCTGAAAAACAAAAAAAAATATGTCCAAAACTTAAGGACAGGCAATATTTTAATCCTGTCATTTTAATTAAAGTGAAGGTTAAATTCAATTTTTTGTCATTATTGACTGACATTGTAGTTCTGTTTAATTTGGCAACCTTTTCAATGAAAAATAGTTTACAGTATTTAGCAAATTTATAAGTCACATTTATGTAAGCGGTACTCTATTGACTTTATTATGAAAACAACATTTTATACTCATTGACCTTTGACCTCAAAGCAAATACACAAACCCTTTGCCCATATCCCTCGGCTCATAGTATAAAGAAATTACTGTCTACCTTGACCTTTAAATCATGAAATGCTTTGACTGCTGCACCCGCTGCTATGTTTTAAGTTTTTTAGCTTGGACTTGATCTGCTTGTTGCTCTAATTTCTGCTTTTTGTAAAGGCCAACATTGAATCGTTGCATTACATTTATCAGTTAGTGTTGTTATAGCCAGATAGCACCTGAAATAGCTCGTCCTGCATGTGTCTTTGATTCTGATATACATTGTCGTAAGAAGTCCATGTTTTTGTATCTGTTTTGCTTGCGACTGTTTTCAAGTT